GCAGGGGACAGCGGGGCAGGGGGACAACGTGGTGTGGTGTGAGGGCATGGACAGGGCTGCTCACACCAGTGCACGGGTGGGCCAACGCCTGTCCCTGTCACCTCCATCCCCGCCACCCCTGTCCTTGTCAGCCCCATCCTTGCCACCTCCATCCCTGTCATCTCCAGCCCTGCCACCCCCTTCCCCACCGCCCTCTCCCTGTCCCCACCGCCCCGACCAGCCGGAGGAAGGTGGCCACATCCTGCTCCCGTCCCTGGGCGCCAGGGTCCCTGCGGCGGGTGCGCAGCCAGCGCCGACGCCGGTGCGTGTGGTAGGTCTTCTCGACGGCGTGCCATGCCGGTGGGGGGCTGCCGGGGGCTGCGCTCACCCCGTACTCCCAACCTGTGGCACCTGGGTGTCCTCACCACCGACCACCTACCCACCCACCCACCCCGGGGTGCCCGGTGGGGACACCCACTCACCGGCCTCATCCACGGCCCCCGTCACGTCCACCCGCCAGCCATCAGTGACGTGCCAGCCTTGGGGACACGCCACCTCCTCCTTAGGCGGCACCGCCGCGCCACTCTGCAAAACCGGGTGAGAGCTGAGCCCTGATGCACTCGTGTCATCTCACTGACAGCTTCCTCCCCCGTGGCCCCCCACGCCACCGCCCGCTCACCACGTCAGTGCTGGCCACGGCGGCGGGTCCCCACTCCCCGCTGAGCTGCCGGCTCTCGTTCTCGTAGACCTCCTCCAGCACCTCGCCCACGTTGGTCTCTGTGTCCAGCAGCAGCCTGGGGACAAGGGGACGACGCTGGCGTCCCCCTCCCCGAGGTCCCCGAGGTGGCAGGGTGGGTGTCACCAACCCGTCCCACGGGACTCACCGCCGCTGGGGCTCCACGGTCCAGGGTCCGTCCCAACGCCAGCCCCTGGGGGGACGGATCTTGTGGCGGGGGAGCCCCGCTTTGCCGGTGCTGTCAGAGAAGCCGGGGCGCCCCAGCAATCCCCGGGAACCCCACTTGCCCAACAGCTTGGTCTGGTTTTCATACTGGGGGAGAGAGACACACACACACACACACACACACACGGTTGAAGGGGGCTGGTTGTGTATACATGTGTGTGTCATTACTGTGATGAGTTGTGGCCGGTCTCAGCCCACTGGTCTCTCTGCCCCTAGGGCTCACCGTCTCGGCGTAGACGCGCAGGGTGCCCTCGAGGTGCCGTGGCAGGTCCCCGCTGTCGGCCACCCGTCCCAGCCACAGACGGAGCCGGAGCTGGGCACGGATGTCCCCAGAGCCCTGCGCCCCGCAGCGTGGGTGGGGGCACGGGGGAGGTATAGAGGGGACATGGGGGGGGACATGGAGCAGACATGCAGATCTAGGAGGGACGTAGAGGGGACGTGGAGGGGACAGGGAGGGGATGTAAAGGGGACTTGGGGGGACACGAGGGGGACATGGAGGGGATATGGAAAGGATGTGGGGGGGATACAGAGGGGACATGGAGGGACATGGAGCAGAGATGGAGGGGACACAGAGGGGACATGATGGGGGCATGGAGGAGTTACAGGGGGGACACAAAGGGGGTGTGGAGGGGACGTGGTGAAGTTACAGAGGGGACATAGAGCAGACATGGAGGGGATACAGAGGGGATGTGGAGGGAACACGGAGGGGACACAGAGGGGAGATGGAGGGGCCGTGGATGGGACACAGGGAACACGGAGGGGCTGCAGGGGTGACATGGAGGGGACGTGGGGTGCCTACCACCAGGAAGAGGGTCTGGATCCGGCCGCAGAGCCTGCCACAGGCGCTGGGGCCACTCCGGGAGAACATGAGGTCGGTCGCGGGGACGCGGGCACAGGCCACCCGCCGCTCCCCCTGCAGCAGCCACAGCAGCACGTCAGGCACGCCGGCCTGCGGCTGCGGGGAGAGAGAGAGAGGGAGAGAGAGACCGGTGGGCTGAGACTGGCCAGAACTCATCACAGCGATGACCTCTGCCCCGACACAGACAACCAGCCCCGGCCCCCACCTCGACAGCCAAGGCAACCACACGTCGCAGCCATCCCTCGGCCACCGGCAGCAACGTGTCCCAGCCGGCTCTCGGTGGCACCGCCGCTGCCGCAGCCACGCGCCGGAGGAGGTGAAGACGGGCGGCCCGGAGGTGGGCATCCAGTGGCGTGGGGGTGGGCTGCGCCTCCAGCTGGGGCAGTGCCCGCCTGCAAACAGCACCCCCCCAAAATGCCCCGTTCCTCCCCCCCCGGCTGACCTGTTTTCCCCAAAAAAGCTTTGCTCCCCCCCCAAAT